TCTCTCTCTCTCTCTCTCTCTCTCTCTCTCTCTCTCTCTCTCTCTCTCTATTTCTATATGTGTAAAACCTTTATATTGCTAGCCACGTTCACGAATCGAGAGAGAAGAACGATCCTTCCGAATAGAAAACTTTCGATCTCTCCAATGAGAATAAAATCCTCTCTTGTTGTTTGTTATGTTATTGTTTCTCGCTCGCTCGCTCGCTCGCTCGCGTGCGCGCGAGCGCATGCACGCCTATTCTCCGTGTTCCAAGGTATAATGAACACAGAAATCGAGTGTCAACGAGAGAAGGTAAAGGTACGGACGATATGGGGTAGCTGGCGGAGTGGGGGGAGAGGGAGCAATTATTTGCTATAGGAAGTATAAATTTTAAATAGATATCGTAATCGATTATTATATCGAACGATTAGTATGATTAAAATTATCTGGTTCACGACTAACAAACAACAACAACAACAACAACAACAAAGATGACAAAGATTACGATGTTACACGTATATCTTGTAAAACTCATTGTATTATTAAATGCATTCTATCTCATTTTAACTTCTCCCTCTCCCCCCTCGCCTCACCACCACCTTAACTCTCACTCTCTCTCTCTCTCTCTCTCTTTATATATCTATCTATCTATTTATCTATCTATCATTTTCTCTTTGTCGAAATTCTCTCTTTGTTACTCTTTGTATGACATACTCTCTCGCTCAGTATATGGGACCACCACCAGCCTGCTTTTCCGGGACACGTGCCCATGGGTATCGGTATTTCGGGGTGTGTTAATACCTCACTATCCAGACGGATAGAGAGAGAACAGAGCGAAACATCCACTCCTGTACATTGTTTGCGGCTTGGAATCAATAAAAGCATAGCTTTAGGCTACGCTGGTTGCCCTAGCAACGAGAGACCCATCCGCTCACCCCCCCAAACCCTCCCCTTCCACCACCCAACCACCCTTCTCCACTGGCAACATCTCTCTCGTTCTATCTATCCATCTATGCCTCGATCCTTCCCCTCTTTTCCCTCCTCATCCTCATCCTCATCTTCCTCCACCTCTCCTATCGTGCTTTTCCTCTTTCTCTTCACTCAGCCCCCAACCCCTATCCTCATCCCTTCTTTCTCTCTTTCTCTTTCTCTTCCGCAAGCACGTTTGCGCGTCCATGCACGAGTACACACACTTTCTCTCTCTCTCTCTCTCTCTTTCTCTTTCTCTTTCTTTCTCGTAACATCTATCCATCCATCTATCCATCCATCCATCCATCCATCCATCCATCCATCTTTCTTCTTTTATTTCTTTCTCTTTCTTTCATGAATCCCCTTCCCTTTTTCCTACCACCCTGTTTGCCCGATACATCGCAAAGAAAAAAAAAAAAAGAAAAAGATGAAAGTAGACTAGAGAAGAAGAAGAAGGAGAAGAAGAAGATGATGAATAAGAAGAAGAAGAAGAAGAGGAAGTAGAGGAAAGAAAAAAATAAAAATACAAAATAAAAAAGAAATAAACTTATTGGATCCGTCTACCATCCGCTACTGCTGTTGCTGTTGCTGTTGCTACTGCTGTTGGTGCTCGCTAAATTGTAGTATACTACGCATCCTTCTCCTCGACTTTTCCAAGAGTAGAACGAATCAAAATTATTGGCATGAGAAATGTCCTTAAGCTTTCTCTCTCTCTCTCTCTTTCGTTTACTAAGTTCGTTAGAGCCCTCCGGTTACCGTTACACATTCAATTTGAAGTTCATAAAATATTATCGAATCTGGATCAACAGAACCCTTCCTTCCCCTTTAGAGTGATCATAACCATGTCCTAGTGTCACATGTCCTATGGTTACCCAAAGAACACAACCCACCAAACAGAAATGAAATTCTTCTTATCTCGGGGCGACTGACTTTTCAAGGGAATTCCCTTTTCCTTTCTTGTATCGTACAAAATTAACATGTCAAAGCGATACCTTTGATACAGGTGCATCATCTCTACACAATCTAACCATCTATCTATCTATCTATCTATCTATCCATAGCACGAGGATTTGGTCTACCTCGGAGCCTTGTTATTCTCTTGTTCGAATAACCGAAGAGGAATTAAGTAATATAACCATGAGTTTCCCCACTGAAGCTTCAAATTTCTTGTTCTTCGAACCATTAACAATGAAAATGTGTAAAAAAGTAATCACGATTATAGTTTAGCGAAAATGATCAGTCTTATTTATTAACAATGATTCAAAGTTTTGTTAAGTACTTTCGTTTATTTTTTTTTTTTTTTTAATTTATTTCTTTTGGTTATTTATATATACATTTATCCAACCTAATATTCAGTCGTATTACTTTGGAGCCTTGTTATTATCTTGTTAGAATAATTGTAATGATCAAAATCTGAAGCATCCAAATTGAACACTCGCAAAACGAAGCATCGATGATGATCATTCTCTTATGCAATAACAATCAATATATTACCTCTTGTTAATAATTATCCATAATATATCTTGAAATCGTATTAATTTCGTACGTAAATCGTTATTTAAAAAAACGATTAAATTATAATACGCAAATTATCGTTTGATTTTTAACTTTAAAACGTATTTATCATCTATCTCCAAAGATATCGCCAAGTTGTCGATTAAAGGGTAAAAAAAGAAAAAAAAGGAGGCAAAAAAAGGATTATCTTCGACGTGATCATCCCCCCAAGTTGTTCGCGAGTTGTGTTTTAGGCTATGGAAAGTCAAAGAGTGAGCGCGTTAGTTCGGAGCAACTCGTTTAGGGCGCAAACTCCATGGAAAAACGTCGATAAGTGTCACGCGCTCTTCGTACGTTAGCAAAGAAGAGTGTGTTTTCTTGGGAAAATCTGGACGATCATCGTCAACGATAGGAGACAGACCGAGAGGAAGATCGAAGGAAGTGGATCGAATTTATCGTTAACGGGATCGCACACCTAAGCGATCTAAATAGATATTATTTTAACAACTTATCATCTAAAGGTAAATTTTAAACATAGTCTTTCCTTCGATATTTCTCGCAAAACAGAGCTTTTGGTGTAGGTTGACCGACTTCTAGTCGTGTATGTGTATGTACGTATCACGACGATTTTCCTGCGTTTGCGTGGTGGTGATTCTGACGATGTTGTGAAGGATCCTTTATTTTTGTAGATTATATCAAGCTAACGAGAAAGAGTAAAAGAGTAAGAGAGAGAGAGTGAGAGAGAGAGAGAGAGAAAGAGAGACAGAAAAGCAAGAAAAGGGTGGGCACCCTTCTTCTTCTCTTCCATATGGGTTAAGATCGAGTTCACAGAAAGCGCCGATAGTCACGGTTTTCGAGCGTTACAAATAGCGGCTCGTTTAAAAATGAATTTGTATAGATAAGTGATCATCTCGAGTTACCAAAAAACTTCAATGTACTACCACCCCCTACGATGTAGAATGAATAATTCAATTCAAACGCGGGGGTTTTTTATTTTTCAAGTTATCATCTACTCTTATTAATATCAACTTGTTGATGTTACGAACGAGATAAGTGAAAAATACTCTTGTAGAATACATAACATACATTTTCTCTCTCTCTCTCTCTCTCTCTCTCTCTCGTACTTTATTAGCTTTGGATCAATCCGACTTAGAGACAGACGAATAGTTTGTAATGTTGCTTGTGCAGTAGGAAGGAAGATTTGTAGCTCACACAGTAGTACAGGTCCCCCTGTAAGGCGACACAGGTACATATGGGCCGCTTCGATGAATGGACCAAATGATATAAATTATTTATAGATTTCGACACCCGTACCCTTAGATACGAAGCTGAAACGGCTCCAACTCCGGAGGAGGGTTGTTCGGAGTAGAGTAAAGTAAGAACGTGTTTCGTTCGAAACTCCAAGGGGGAGTGAACAACCACCGGGGGTCCACTTGCATCGAAAACCCCTTGGGGCACCCCCTCAACATATGTACTCTCGCTCGACCACCGACTCGGCTCTCTCTATAAAATTGATTCCTAAATACCCTAGATTCGTGCCTGCTCGTGTGTCTCTCTTAACACCTACGCCCATTGGCTTTACGCTCTATTGGAGAAGGCGAAGTACATGAAATTTGAGAAACTGATGAATACGAGATGTGTTCAAAATGTTCCTCTTATTTTACATTTTTTAAATCGTACTTTTAATATTGCTGATATATATATTGTTGATAATAATATTTAGAAAATAATATTCTTTTTTCGTTCGATCTCTTTCTTTTTCATTTTTCTTCGTCAACGTTAAAAAAAAAGTTGTTTTAATTTAAAAAAAAAAGTTTTCTCAAGTTTACTTGTAACTTATGAGAAGAGGACGCGACTAGTGTTGTTCAGTACAAGTACCGAACAGTATATTCCCTGGGGTTAAAACTAAATCAATGGGCTTGTGGGTAATCGCATAATAATTATCGGGACCCCCCCTACCGTCCATCTGTCGTTGGCCAAGGGGGTATTCGACCCCTCCAAGAGCCAATAGGTGATTCTAGGGCAACATGCCCGATGAACGTGACCCAGCAGGTCCTATTGTCGCTTAGACGTAGTCGGAATGTCGTCGTTCAATTTCTGATTCTACCCTTCCTTCGTTCTTATGAACTTTTGTTGATCAATGAACATTAGAAAAGAAACGATGATCGAAACTGATCTCACCTATCCAAATTAGTGATCTAATCAAAGTGATGCTTTTTATTTTTTGAATTAATATCAAAATTTTTTTCCTCAAACGATCGTTGACTTGTTTTACTTTTTTGTTGTAGTCCTTTCAGATTGACAAATGGTGTTAGCATTTTTCCTCGGCTTATGTATCGCCTCTGCGGTTGGATTACGTGGTCCACATCATCCAAGAAGTTCCGTTTCTCATCATCATTACTCACCTCAGAAAGGTGTTAAGTTAACGCAGGATACTGAACTGCTTCACGATGCCACGTTGGTTTTTCATCTCGATATATTTTTTAAAAATAATATTCGAATAGTTTTCTTTAAACCATTAACGTAACACGCATACTTACAAATTTTATTATTTTAGTCACTTGAAAGAAGACATGGGGCCGATATCGTCCCAGCTTGATTTTTCAAAACTGAGTGAACAGGAGGTCGAATTCCTTTACTTCAAGTATGATTGTTCGAATTATTTCGAATTAATTAAATCAGTCACAGACAATTTGTAGAGAACTTGATTAGTATCTCTTCATTGTAGAGCACATGATATCGATAATAATACTAAATTAGATGGTCTTGAAATTCTATATGCCATACAACATACTTTTCACGAACATAATATGGTCGACGAAGATAGAAGTATGGATGAGGATGAGCCACAAATACAAGAGGACGAATTGCCACGTCTCGTAGGTAAGAATAGCAATGGACGATGAAAATTTATATGACGATTTGTATAATTAATTGTTCTCTTGTAACTCTATAAAAAAAATATATATATATTTTTTATATAAGGTCTTATAGACAGAGTATTGGAAGAAGATGATTCGAATAATGATGGTTATTTAGGATACGATGAGTATGTCTTGGGAAGACGAAAGGATCACATTACCCAAGCAAAAAGGATTGCTAGAAATAATATAAAAAATTAAAAGAAAGTCAACTTATATACACACACATATAATATATACATATACATATACAGTATTATTAATTGTCAATATTTTTTAGTGCTAACAATTCACATTTATCTTTATATACCTGTTGTAAGATTGAATATAATTTTCAATATGGTTATAAGAAAAATTAAAATTAATAATATTTAAAAAAAAACTAGTATACATTTATAATAATGTTAACTTCATTAACTAGATAATATTTTAATTAATAATTTTTCTTATGTGACAATATATAGAAAAGTTCGATCAGTCTTTATGATAAAAATCCGAGATAACACATGGAATTGGTGTCTAACAATAATATAAACGTCATCTTAAATATGTATGTATATATAAACAAGAATTGATATTCTAAAAAAGCTTAATTATCATTTCGTATATTATACGGAAACTAGGGGTGATTCTGTCATTATAATACCTCTTTCCCAAAGATCCTTTGCCATTTGATACTGTGTATTTATAAATATTATTATAAATTATTATATATTTAATATAATTTATTGAAGAAAAAAAAAAAGAAAGAAAAGAAAAACTTACTTGATTATCTTCATCTTCAATAGGTAGGTCTGCAAGTTTAATAAATTTGGGATATCTAAGGATAAGTTCTCTTATACCTGATACAAATAGTTTACCGATGTCTAAATACTGTAGCATGTATTCGTGATACTCTTTGGAATTTTCGCAAGAATAATATAGCCTAAATTGATCATCTTCCTCTTGTACTAATCTAATTGTATAAAATAATAGAGAGAGTTATCTTCTAATTTAATATAATATTATTATTTGATATTAAAGAGATTATAATCGGAAAGATAATTTACCTTACACAATGAGATCTTATTAATCGTATCTTTGTAGAAGGCTTAAAATTTGCGTGATTTACTACAACTCCTTCTGCGATCATTTTTTCTCCATCCAAGATCGAAGTACAAATCATTTCATTCTTTAGAAGGAATGGTGGCAAGAAATCATGTATATGATTTTTAAATATTTCATCAGCTGCTTTGTCGATATCAAGATAACTTTTAATTTTATCCATTAACAAATTTACAGTAAATTTAAAGGATGATCGAAAATCATTAGATGTACTATCATGATGTACTAAACCAAAGTATCTCCAAAAATCGACAGGTAATCCTTCACGTAAAATAGGATAACTCTCAATTGCTTTTTCAAATGCGCTTGGAATCAATTTCTCAAAGAGATCACACCAAGCATTTTTTTGATAAACACTCAAAGTAAGATGCAAACTGTGACAATCCATATTAGTTAATCCTTGATGAATTGTTCCACGTGGAAGATACAACATATCTCCAGCTTCTAATACTTCATCAAAAAAAGGATCACCTAAATCTGAATCTTTCAAATCTTTTGATGGAAATCTTGGTAAATAATTTTTTGGATCTGTTACATGATATAATCTCCATCTTTTCTTTCCTTCGATTTGCAATATGAATGCTTCTATGTCATCATAATGCGGTGCAAATCCTTGACTACCAGGTGGTGTCAAGTAACTATTTGAACCAACAAAACATCCAAACAATTCTTGAAGAGTTGCTATATATTAAATTAATATTAATTCATTTTAACAGAATAGCATTTATATAATAACAGAATTAATAAAGTCTTAGTTGTTGTACCATTTAATATATGAATCCTAGGCAAATAGGTTTGTGGATTTAACATTCTTACTGAACATCCGTTTTTATAATAATCCCAAACAATGGTAGGTAAAGCTCGACCTTCAGGATTATGATTTTCTCTTACACCCTCATCGTATGAAGTAATATCAATATTCTTTGAAAATAATATATTATTATCTCTTAATATTTTGTCAAGTATCGGAGTTGACATAAGAACTTTGAAGTAATTGGCATCGGTCCGTTTTATAAATACAGGTTTTTTTTCCCAATGTTCACTAAAATAAATACATTTTTAAATATGTTTTATATAGACACACATTTAAATATATTACGCTTAAATATTATTACCAATTTATCTGTTTCTGTGTAATACATACTTAAAAAATTTGTTCAAATTTAGAGGATGTATCAACCATTCAAATAACATATAAGTTTGTATTACGGGATCTTTCGTAAATAAATCATCCATTTCAGCAATCTTTGGACTTTGATTTTCTGTCGTATTTGATTTATCATTATTCTGTTTCTTTGACTTTTTATTAACTTTTTTCTTTGATTTATTATTATCTTCGTTAAGTAGGTTTAATATCGGAGTATCATAATTTATTGCAGTAGTAGTAATAGTGGTAGAAGGTTCTGCGTTATTGAAAAAGGAACTGCTATTAAATAATAACTGTTTTTTTTCTGTATTTTTCTTGTCCTTTACATTATACACCGACATTTTCATATTGATGTCCTTTGTCTGTGAAATATCATCATCAGTTCTGGGCGATGAAAGATCTTTAGGATCCTTCTGTCTTTTATTAATCGATTTAGACTTTGATATCTTTTTCTTTGTTATATTGCCTGTCCTTTTTATTTTTTTATTCCCCATATTTGAGCGTTTCTTTTGAAATTTCTGTAACTGTAATGAAGTCTCTGAATTTTTACGTTTCTTTGTATATACTGCAAATGCAGAGATTTGTTCATTCTTTGAGAACATCTACAACAATTAAAAATCTATAAATATTGATTATTTCATTATTCTTAAGTTTAAATTATACTTAAATATCTCTAATATTTCTTATGATAACGGCAATTTCCGTGAATAGGATATAAAGGATATAAAAAATCATAACCTCTAATAAATTTATACATCGATTCAGATATTATATAAGCCAAGGATTTTTCTGCTCAAAAAACTAAATATTAACAATAAGAGTTATTCACATACATATATTTATATATATATATATATATATATATATATATATATATATGCATATATATTTTATTTACCTTTTTTATTGTATGCACTTTTTGCACCGAACAAATTAAATTTGAACCTTAACCACGTTGTTGACCTTTTGTATAACGGTTGGTTTTGGTCTTGAAGCCACTTTGTTTTCAATGAAATTTAGCGTCATCTAGTAACTGAATAAAGAATTAAATCTAGATTCGGGTACTATTTTACAAAAAGTTAATCGGTGTTTTATAAAGTATTAGAATACAATATTAGCGAATTTAATATTTATTAAAATATTTATATGTAATATGATAAAAATTGTCTTCACTATCATTAAAAATAACAAATGTAATTATCATGATTTCAAATGAAAATAAAGTAAAAAGTTATAATATTCAATTTCTCATAATTATATATGAAGTTAAATTTATTATTTAATTAATGAGAACGTAATTTATTTACACATTATTTATGATGTTGTTATTTTAAACTTTAACTGTTATTGTTAGAAAAAATTAGTTTAAATATCTTTATTATATCACAATATAAAATTTAGATGTACAATTAGTAAGATCTTCTGAATTTTTTTATTTTTAAGTATAGCATCAGTATACTTTAGAGATATTGTTCTATTAGACTTACACACTTTAACCACCCATTGCGTTTAACAGTTCTTCAAGATGCAAAGGAGGCTTTAATTTTTGTTTAGTTCATTGCACTTAAAGGCACAGTATCATAGATGAGGGAACTTAAAAAGATGATTGCATCAGAAATAACTGTTGCCACAGTCAATTTTAAAAGAGAAAATAATTTGTTAATTTTGCAGCGTTACACTACACGTTCATTAATGTACATCCACATAGCAACAAGTTGATTTACATATTTATATTTTAAATTATCTCTGTTTTTCTACTACTCAAACTCTTTTTAATTAAGGCCCAATCTTCTAAAATATCAGAATCATTAAGCATATAAACGATATATGGTCCTGCTACGGAAACTGCTTTCCTTCTCTCCGTATGGTTCCTACGTCTTCTACCACTTGAATTTAACCATAAATCTGCATGAATATCTACATTATTTCTATCCTCTTCTAATCTACGTATCTTCTCCTGAAGATCATTATGTATATAATCCCAAATCAATTCTTTTTCACTTTCAAAATTTTGGAAAGCGGCCTGTTCCTCTGCTGAAAATTTATTTTGTATATTTTGCAATCTGTATTGTTTCAATATTCCAGCTACTTCTATTTTGGTTTTCATATTTTCTTTTAAACGTTCTAGGGGTATTAAATATTCTTCCGATTTACCAACTCGTACTTCCCCAAGTTTGGTATCGACTTGTGTTATTCTTTCACGATACAATCTATAGGAATGAAACATATCATAATTAATATTACTTGTAAATATGAAACAATTGCTAAATGTTGCCACTGCAATTACACTGTATTTACTTTGGCTTCGTTATAACATTATGCTTACTGTTCTTTGAGTAATGAAAATTGTCTTTCTAAATCAACTAAATTCTCCATACACTCATTACGTCTTCTTTCGCACTCATCTTCATCCATCTCTGAGGAATCATCGCTGTCACTGTGTTCTGCACTACTATCACACGACGCAGAACTTTGGTTGCTATCGTTGCTATCGTGAGACATTTCTTCTCCTTCTGGCTCTGATTCATCTTTGACACTAGGCATCGGAACTACACATTTCCATTTTAAAATAATGATAACCTACAATATTTATCAACTAATTTAAACTCTCTCTCAAGAGTGTTAAGACAAATTACCTTTAATCAGCTTTTGATTACCCAGGACGTATTGTAAAAATGAACAATTTTAAATATAAACTAGCTTTAAATAAAAATAATCCACAAATTTGATATTAACTTCTTAATCTGTAATGCACATAACCTAAAAAAAAAAATAACACTTCAAATATAATTCACTAAAAGTCTTCAAGATTATATAATATTTGTATCGGTGTTACCTAACAAAATGAGAACAACAATAATTATTTACGAGAATATTGATTTTAATTCTAAAAATTCCAAATGGTTATTTGTTTATACCAAGAGTAACAATGGACAACCATTTTTTAGAAGAGCACAGCAGCCACCTCATACTATACTAGTAAATGAGCCACGTGACTTCTGCGCATGAGCATACTACGTTTGCATCTGCATTACCGATAGGTTATTACCACATCAAAGAATACAGAAGAACATAAAAGATCATTATTCCCCTTTTTTATCTACTCAGATTCATTAAAGTTACTACCACGGGACCACCAGTGGGCGATAGTAGGTACTTAACGCGATAACGGTACAATACTATTAAAGAATATTGTATTCTTTGATAGTTATGTACCGTCATCGCGTTAAATACATACTATCGTCCAATGGTAGTCCCAGTGGTAACAAAAATAATGCTGAGTAGATAAAAAAGGGGACTTGTGAGTTTATATATACTTCACTACAAAAAAGTTGGCATAGAATCGTAACAGCAGAAAAAAATGAAAAAATGAAAATATTTATCTATTGTTTATACATTATAAACGATTAACTTATTTCTTTTCACTACCTTATAGGTTGTTACTTTGGAAATCAACTTTAAATATATCCCCTGCAGGTATACCTACTTTACTTTCATTTTTTTCCAAATGTGCTTGCGCCTTGAATTTGTGTTTGCGCATGTGTTTAACAAATCTTTCACTCATGACGTCGCCATTTCATAATTATTCAAAGTGCAATAATTATTTTCAACTAATTAATGATAAATAAAAAATATTTGATAAAATAAAGTTTAGCAAATAGTGTGCAATTAAGAGCATATATTCATTTTTTTCTGCTTTAAGATTCCTTGCCAGCGTTTTCACGGTGATTACTTCCATAATTAGGGGCACAATTATCATCGGAAAATCTATTTTACCGACGTAATCAAATAGCGTTTCCATAATTTGCTACAAGATGGCCGTGGAGCGCAACCGTGCACCTGTAGTGATAGCACGTGTTATAAGACTAAATCGTGATCCAATAGTTTCCCGCTTTTTAACGTGCAACATTAAGGTTTGTGAATCGTTGGGAAGGATAGGGCGGTATTATCGAAGCTGGTAAGATTATGGGAATATTTAGAATTTAGGTTAGTATGAAGCTTTTATATCTAAAGTTTGTGGTACGTGTGCGTGTGTTTGTGCTTGCATGGTGGGTCCGGTATGTGTGTACGACGATCGTTTTTCGATCGACGATTAACCTTCAAAGGCGCTCGTGTTGTTTGCCGCGCATTCAACGAAAAAGAATGTAGGAGAGGTCGACGGACGATGATCTATTATTTGCGAATAGACAACGATCCGATCGTTTTCGTCAGGGACGTTATTTGTGTCGCGATCGTGGCTAAGAAAGTACATACGATCAGGAGTTTAGTGCCGATGATGCTAACCTAAATCGTCTTCGCTTGAGTTTCTTGGCGCGCGTGTGTATAAGAGAAAAAAAGAAAGAAGAAAAAGAGAGAGAGAGAGAGAGAGAGAGAGAGAAAGAAAGAGTGAGTGAGAAAGAACGACTGATTAAGTGTGGGAAGCTTGGTGGTGTGGGGGGCGGGGAGGAGAAAGAAAGGTAAGGGTAAAAGAAAAAGATAGAAAAAGATAAAGAAAGAAGAAAAGAGAAGGCGCGTGGCGCGTTTGAAGTCACGTCTTGGAGTCGTCTCATTGGTCGGATCTTCTACTTGTTCGACCGGTTACAACGAATCAATAACTTATCGCCTCTCTAAGGTCTACGTTCGGCGTTAACGAGTGTTCGCGAATTTTAACGAGGTTAGCGCCGCATCGTGGGTTAAGCCAGCCTACCGATACACTAATACACTGTTAAAACTGTTTTGCTGCAGCTACTTGTGTTGCTGCTGCTGCTGTTATTTGAAACCTTCTCATATTTCTTCTCCTCTTTCTTCCTCCTCTTCTTCTTCATCTTCTTCTTCTTCTTCTTCTTCGTCATTGTCATCTTCATTTTAATCTTTATCCCCATCTTTTTTCTTTTTATTCAAACGTTGCAACTTACCGCAATAAGAAGAAGTTGTTGGGTCATCCCGCGTATTTTATATCGCGCATACCAAACGAATAAACGTTTTTCATTGGCCCAGTTCTCCCCTAACAATACCTAGAAGCAAGTTTCAAATTGGATGGTTGAAATTGATGTTTCTTCTTCTTCTTGGCGAATCGCCAATGGCCTATTGTAATGCGAGAGAGAGAGTGTTCTAAACATAGACATAGTGTGTCTTATGTATTTATTTGATAGAAGGAGTAGTTATCATCGTGCGCTAATAAATAACGGATAGATTATATTAGATCGATCGTTGAGATGTTAGTTCAGTGAGTTAGAGGTGCTTACTTTGAACGATCGTGTCACAATTCATACACTTTCGATCAGATCAACGAGAAGAGTTCATCGTTCCTGCTTTGATCTTCTTTATATCCCACATGTGAAAGTGTTTCGAGGTTAGATATCTCACCCTTTGATTTATTTTTTTCCTTATTTATTATCCAACGTCAATCGATCCTAAAGATCTATGCAATTTTATTTCAAGGTTATATGTTTACGTGCGTTACGTTTGCACTCATGGCGCCAGTTTTTCTTTCATACACGCATACTAAGTGGTTCTATATCATTTCAGAAGCGGAGGAAACTATAAGGAATGAATCACTCGGATTCCATGGAAGAAAAAGTGTCGTAGAGTAAGTACTCAACATTATAATCAATGTCACTTGATTCCGCATTTAAATTATCCTTGTACGTCAGGTAATTGCTTACACATTACGTATGTATATAAGTTTTTTATACATTAAAAACAAAAAATAGATCTCTTGGATCAATCATATTTATTTTCCTTTCAACGAGATTTGAATTTTCATAATACTTATTTCTAAGCTTTATTTTTCAACCTTATTTTCTTCTTATCATCTTTCTTATGTAAAAGAAAGAAATAAGGATTGAGGAAAAAAAAGGAGAACAAGAAAAAAATAAATTTCAATAAGCTATGGTTACGAAACGACGCCATATTATTACGAATGATCACGTGATAAGGAAAAAGGATAGGGCTTATGGAATGCAGTATTTATCGTTTATAAATGTTGAATAGTCGTTGAAACACACGTTTAATATAACTTTAGTATCATTTTATTAATTTTACTAGAGTAAATATCACAGGTACACGTTTCTCTATCACAATATCCTCCTCTCAAACGTCTTATGGCGACATCTTTCCTTCTTTTATTTTTATTTTACTTAAATTTAACATGCACATTCCGCGAACGATATCTTTTTAACACATTCGATAATACCGGCATACCTATCCTACGCTATTAATTATTACATTTTAATTTATTGTTTATTTGTTCGTTCTATTTCGTTTGATTGTTAATTGCTTATTTTTTTTTTTTTTTTTTTTTTTTTTTTTTTTTTTTTTTTTTTTAATAAGTTTGTTATTACATCTGATAAATATGGTGCTATATATTTCAAGTTTTTTATATGCGATATCTAACAAATTGTTTCGCACGAAAAAAAAAAAAACAAGCCACCGTTTACGCGAATGTGTTTTAACAAAAGCAAAAAAATATAATTAAAGATTAAAAGACGATCCTTGGGAACGCGTAAGGTGTCTTTTTTGTTTCGACGGAGGAGGAAACGCATATATGTATGTACAATAAAAGTTTGCATCGCGCGAGTTGCATTCGTATTATGTTTTATCCATCATTTTTCTGATCGTTTAGATCAATAAATTAAAAGGCAACGATGACGTCTTATTAATATCAATTTTTTTAAAAAAAAAAAAAAAAAAAAAAAAAACAAAAAAATAAAAAAGAAAAATAATTAGCAAATTCAATAAACATATGAATGCACTTTATCTTCAATTATTATCTCGTGAAGAAATTCATGACTATATAAACAAGATATGTATATTTCGATAAAAGTATGAAACAAATAATAGAAAAAAATGTAACCATCGATATTATCTAAATTAAAACTTCAACCGGTTTGCTTATTACGACTTTACGATCAATTATTGTTTAATATATATATATATTGAGACCTTAATACTTTTCAATTTAATGTAGATATGTATAAATCGATAACGCGAAATAAAAAGCTCAGGTCTTCAGGTAGATTTGTTTCGTATTACGCGAGAAACGAAAACAAAAAGAATAAGACTTCACTATTTTAGAGTTTGTCGTTCTTTCGTTTCGTTTAGTTTAGTTTAGTTTAGTTTAGTTTATTTTAGTCTAGTCTTGTCTGATTTCTCCGATAATTCGTATGGAGATCTCGGTTCTTCGTTAGGACGATATGTTAAATCGTATTATCATATCTTCTTAGAAATATTTGAACTTCCTCTTCTTCTTCTTCTTCTTCCTTCATTGGAAAAGCGTTATTTTGAAACGCAAGAAGATTTTTCTTTTTCCTCCAATGAAAACTAATAATAAATTCGAGTCTTCAGTAATTACATATTTCTGTCTCGATTACTTTGAGATCATCCGTATTAATCACAGATGATATTGCACCACAACCGAATTTGCACCGGAGAGAGATCATAGTGTCATTGGTCAACAGTCTTCCTCAACGTTTTCCAACGTTGAGAGTTTAGGGGTTGGTTCTCTTATTATATTGTTTTTTCATTGGAAATGTGTCAGTGCCAAGAAAAAACATTTTATTAGTTTTACCAAGGTCTCCAGATGGGTTCGTTGGATTTAGCAACTCGCAATAATCCTTCCGCGAAACTATGATGACTCTGTTGTGAAATTTCTTTATCGACTTCCGTCCTAACTGGTGATGGTTGACTGGAAGCTGGCGTAAGTGGCATAGAATATTCGTCGGAGCTAAGTTCGCTGGATGAGGATGGGGAAGATTGTGGTGCTGCCACGTGGATGGTTAATGGTCCAGTCTTGTCCATGGAATTGAGTTTGTGTCCAAGGTGTGTCATTAATTTGGTACCAAGGGCTACGTCAACGCCAGGAGTTGCTGCTAGACAACGGCTAACTTCGTTAGCGCAATGCGTGTAACCAGCTCTGAAACGATCAGCATCGATCACCGGGTTAGCTGATAAACGTTGCTGACGTTGAAGTTTGTGAAGGTGACGGACGGTTAATTCTAAGATATTGGCTTTTTCCAATTTCGCTACGTTTTCACCGTCACGTGCTGAAGCAGTAACCATGAGATCCTTCAGCAAGTCCAAGCAATGATTTATACGTGCTCTACGTTTTCGTTCCAACATAGGTTTTGTAATCTGTAATTTGAAGAATAACGAGTTAATTAGTTTGACGTATTTTCAAACCGTAACGAATGAATGAATGAATGAATGAATGTCAGTCATCGATAGAAATTGATAATAGGATTATTTTATTTTTTCGCGATGTGAAAGAAAAAAAAGAGAATGATGAATTCAGGATACTTACTTTGCGATATTGATAAGTCCTAGAAATGGGCTGCTCCTGGCCATCGATTATTTGCTCGTGCATTTCCATGGTTAATCCCTTTTATTTCTTCTTTCAACGTTCTCACAAACACCAATTAGCAGCACTTTATAAAATGATACTATATAGTATATACTTTATATATGTATAATACTTATATACATATATCATATGCACTTAGTTTGTTTTTCTTTTATTATTTTTGATTATCGCGTTAAATGATTAACAAATAAACAACACACTGTTTCGCCGAATTATTTAATCTCTTTTTCTATATCTCTGTTGATACAAGAGATAAAAATATAAAGATGAATGATTAAAAAAGAATTAGAAATAGATAAATTTAGATAGATTTAATAAAGATAGAGATATAAATCGGGTCGAGCGAGTCTCAATCGGTACGATCGGTTAAAACGCGTCTATCCTCGTCGACCTTTCTGAACGATCAGCGTGATTGTGGTGGCTGTTGGGTAGGATGACGGGTTATATAGCCATGGGCCCCTGCATAAGAGAGGTAAAGGGGCGGCAGCAGGGACCGTAGTGGGGGCCAGGCCTTCCGTGGGAACGGTCCGTAGAGGTTGGTTCCCAAGCAAGCACACCACCTGTAAGCGGCAGCTGCCAGACACGCGCCCACACCAAGCCATCGTCACCGTTCCTTCGTCCTTCTCGCACCTACCCGCATCGTCTATCTTTTTCCTTCTTTACCACCCCCACCACTACCACCACCACCACCATCATCTTCGTCGTTCTTCCTCTCGTGCGCCATGGTGTATGCATTCTTCTCTCTCTCTTTGCGAGCGTGCACGCTCATACGGAAGAACCAGACCGACTATACTACTCGTCCTTGTCTTTCTTATGCAAACAGGAGACTCTCCGTTCTCTCTCTCTCTCTTTCTTAGCATTTTTTTTTCTTCTTCTTCTTCTTTCCTTCAAGCTAGCAGCAGAGTGTCTCCCCTGTTCTCCTCCTCCTTCCTATCGTGATTTGCTATCTCCCTCTCTTTCTCTCTCTCTCTCTCTCTCTCTCTCGTTCTCTTTCTCTTCCTCATCGGTGAAGCGTGCTGGGCACAAGTCCGGCGTCCTCTCGTGAGATCGCGATCCCACCGACTTACACGGCACGTTGCCTCTCCCAATGACGCCAATGCTGATGCTGGCGGTGGCTCGCCACTGCTATGGTGGTGGTGATCGTGATGGTAGATCGTAGTAGTGGTAGTAGCGGTGTTCCCCTTTCGATGTTTGCTCTCTTCGTTCGTAAGAGTAAGAGTGTGTGTATAGGTATTACTATATCGTTGCTACCAAACGATCTTATCCGTTCGTTCTTTCGTTCTTTCGTTCGTACCTTCCTTCCTTCCTTCATTCGGTACGATCGATCGATCATTTTCCGCTCATGTTAATGCGCGAAGGCGGCACGAATCGCAAACCCCCAAGATAACGATGCTTATTTTTGATACCGAGGAAGACACCCCTCCCCCATCCCATACAACTACCAGTTTTCTTACCACGATGACATCTCTGACTTTTGTTGTTAAACGAGATGCATCCGAGGAAGAGAGAGAGAGAGATAAAAATAGTTTGCTTTCGGGGAATGACAATTGTGATTCTATTATTAAAAAAATACTTTAAATGAATGGTCAATATTTATAATCAAATAATTCCCCGTGATTCGTAATTCTTATTGGAAAATTTGATGCATTGACAAAATAAATATAATATACCATTTGTTATTAACTATTGATTATTTATACTGAATAAAATGTTCACGCGTAAACGCTGAACATGTTATATATGTTGTTATATTTTCTTTTAATTACAAAAAAAATTAATAATTACAAATTTTCTATATAAAACAAACAAAAAATCATATTATTTTATTCCAAGTAATATATATATTTTCAAGAAATGATATTACATATTATGTTGATGAAATAGACGATAAGAAAAATATGTTACAAATTTTTCAAGACGTTTCATTTTTGGTCAGACAGTGGCTCCAATTATATTCTCTCTTTCCCTTCCCTCTGTACCCTTTTTCTTTTAACCTTTTTTTTTTTTGGCTTTATTTCTTCTTCTTCTTCTTCTTCTTCTTCTCTTCTTATTTTCGAGCAGATAATCGTGCACGCTTATTTCGAAGGTAGTAGAAGATCATTTAAACGTTGTTCGCACCGAATAATTACGGCGTACTTTTTTCTATCCGTTCTCCTTCCGTTTCTTTTTTCTTTTTTTCTTGCTACCGACTCTTTCCTTCTCCCTCCTTCTCTCTCTCTCTCTCTCTCTCTCTCTCTCTCTCTCTCTCATACATTTGAGTAGGACTTTTTATTTCTCTTTTTTAACGATCGACTGCGTCATTAAAAACTGGCGGCAGTTCGATAGAGTACGAACAGATTGCGAGATAAAGTCGACTCGATTCGATCTTTCCCCCCCTCTCCCCTTCTTCTTTCCCCTCGTTTAGTTTATTTTTTATATGCACTCTTCCCCTCCGTTTTGCTCTCTTTCGTCGTTAAAAAAAATCGGACGTTCTCTCTCTCTCTCTGTCTGTCTGTCTGTCTGTCTGTCTGTCTGTCTATCTGTCTGTCTGTTTCTTTTTCTCTTTTTTTCTTTTTTTAGTTCCAGTTCGAGGTCCAATTAAAGCGAAAATTGGCACGGCATCCACCCTATCCTGTTATTCGATTCCGAAAATTATTTGAGAATCCGAAATTCGCACTTCTACGGTTTTTTGTTGCAAGGGAATTTGAGGGAGAGGGGTGGGTAGTGTTTGTAAGGTTGAGGGTGGAAAGAAAAGATAAAAAGTAAAAATCAATTAATTTAAGAGCACTAGTCGTTGCGGTTGTATATAATAAATCATCGATAAGAAAATTATACGCGATTGAATATAATTCTTGACGAAACTTTAATTGCGGGTTTACGAAATTGAAAATCTATTTTCGATCGATACAATTGGATAGTACAAAATACGATAACCAACAATTCAGGGGAAACTTGATTGTGGTCTAATATATATATATACATATTGGTTGTGAAAATGTTTGTGACACAAATTTTGATTAAAAATAAATGAAATATTTATAATAAAAATTCGTACAATATTTGGATTAGCGTTTATAAAATTTGTACTCTTACGTAAAAATATTATTAATCTTAGATCTATAAACTAATCATAATAGATGATTAATAATTGCAAGTAATTAGATAGAATGAATAGAAGAGAATCGTAGAAGTGTTAAGCAGTCTTATATAATTACACGATTTATAAGGCGACGGAACAAATCTAGCTTCTCGAATTGATTTAATAATTCGTATCGTTAATGTCACGATCGGTGTTACATGTACTCGTCTATTCCAAGAAAGATAGAATAAGAGAGAGATAGATAGAGAGACAGAGAGATAAAAAGAGACAGAGAGATAAAAAGACAGAACAAATAGACGAACAGAAAGACAGTGATCCAAGCGACATTGATCGATCACAAGCAACCATTGACTGTCTCGTTCTTGCAATATTTCTTTCCCGTTTCTAACGAGATTATACACTTACATCTTTCTCGCATAAATAATTTAAATCATCGACGTTATGATATACGTATATACGCGTATTCATACCGGGTGGTATCATATTAACTTTACCATTTGCAATATTTCCTTTAATTTTTAGTTTTATGATAAAAGATAATAGAAAACAAACAAACAAACAAAATAATATATTCACGAGAAAAGTTATATATTATTTTACAGATGATGATCACATTTTCGACGATATATATAGAGAGAAGAAAAATAATTTTTTTCTTTTTTTAAGGTCATTTTTTTTCTTATAAGATTTTAAGAAATATTTTATACGGTACACAATACACGATTACACATACACGTACGTAAGTAAATTACGCGTTTATGTTTTACAACGTTTATTTCTTTTTCTAATAGGAATGATAAGTAAAATCTAATGTCAGTCGAAAAGATTTCCTCCTTCTTCGTGGAAAACGATCGAGGAAATTTTTTTTTTTTTTTTTATACGATCTATAAAACGATCTTTCAAATAATTCATATCATTCCTTCGTATCTCGCAGTTGAAAACAAACTGTTGGATTATAAAATTAATTCGTTTGTTATCAATTATATATTTCCATTTTGTCGGACATTTGAACTATTTTAAAATACATTTAGACAGCTGCAATTTAATAAACATCTTTAGAAGCATCATCACGTGTTTTTTGTTGTTGAAATTCAAGAAAATATATCCCAAAGGGATTACATTACGATTAAAATAATATGATCTTTAAGGATGGAAGAGAATTAGGTCATAAATGTTGCCGTTACTAGGCTGACTTAACGGGAAATAGTTGTACGAGTAAGGGATTTTTAATATAACATATTTTTGTATTTATTTTTTTTTTTTTCTAAACAATGTACGAGTACGATATATCTTTGGTGGGCGGTCGCAAATAACATAAATCAGGATTACAAGTTTCGTAGAAAAGCATTTGTGCTGTTTCCAATTAAATCTTAGATTAAATCTTATAAGGGGGGACGTTCCACTGGGATACTCACGGATTTTTAACGTGCTTTAGTATATTACTAGTATACTATTAGGATGTTATCGTGGTAAAGTGTTTTAGCCTAACGCGAAGTCACTTTTAAGTAAAAAGCTTTTAAAGTTTTGATTAGTTTGTATACATGTTTATATTATTCTTAAATGTTTATATTATTCTAAATTCCCCTTTCCCCCCACACACACACACAAAATTATTCAATTTATTATTAATATTTCATTATATCCCTTAGATTCGTAATTTCAAACGAGTAGAATAATGTAACGAATAAAATGTTGCCAATTTTTTAATTGTTCAACACAACTCTATTTATATAAATATAAATAGATTCGAATTAAATAATGTGAAACGTAATTGGGAAAGTAAATATAATAATGTATGCATATGTGCAGAGGAATGCTCATTGATACAAAGTGAAGGACGTTAAAGCGAGGACTTTTATTAACGAAGTACACACGTCAGCTGTTCGCGAGAACATATGTTAGTAGTGTAACGCGGGAATTGTGTAATACATCGTGTCGTCGTATGGCTCGTGCCCATTCGAGAAGAGATCGTTCGAGTTCCTTTTTTCCTTTCCATTTGCAACAACCCCTCGTGCACAAGCAAGACCACGCTCCGTTTGTTTCTTAGCACGTGTCTGCCCACTTAGATCATATTTAGGAGGGTTA